TTCACATCCAAATAACTCAAGTAGACTAGATGAGAACGTGGGTGAGAATCCAAGTTTTATTTAGGATGATATATTAACTTTTAGTGTTTGTTAATTAGTGTTCCTTAAACCCCTACAATGCTATTTCAGATCAGCAAAGATTTTTGTTCTGTCACCCTCCACTGTAACTCCATCTAACAGATGTGTTGACAAGATCTGACTTTGTCTACATTTGGCCACCCATCAGTGACAATTAGAAATAAGGTGTGTTTTGGACTAAGTGACTAAAAAATTGTCCTGCCCTTATGTTTATAGTGGTTTAACTGAATCTTGTATTTGACCTCAGCCTGTCATGAAAATTTTAAGTGACCTTTAACCCTTGCAAACTGACTAACACACATGCCATTCGATGAACTTTGACGAATGCAGCGGGAGTGAAACACACAAACAGAACCCTCACTCTCCACTCCCCCATTATACTTCTGCTTCTACACATCACTGTTAGGTATTTATTGTTTCCCCGCTCTTTAGCTTATAAACCCTGCTGGAAATTCCATCTCACTCTGCTGTTTGCCTCGCATTCCCTTAGACACAACACAAAGTAGCTCAGTCATTTAATATTAAAACACATCCAGCTGTGCCTTAATAACCAAACAACCCACAGGTGTCCTGGCTCTCCTGAGTGACACGCACTCACACACTCGCTGAAGCTCAGGCGATGGGGAATCGTCAGCCACTTGGTTTAATAGCACACTCACAGATACAATCAATGAAATAAATGTTCCATGCTGCGAGATAGATGTCAGAAATACAGCAAATTAATGCAGGCTCACACAGGTAGTGCATACACACTGGGTACACTGGTGCCATCTCTCTGCTCTGCCCCTCACAATCATACCCAAACAGTAAACACATTCAGGCTCTACAGGATATTAAACCTTAGGACTGAGCGAGATAAACACATTCTTCACACAAGCGCTCTTTCATTCTTTATCTCTGTCCGCCTATCTGCTATAAACCTTCACTCTTTCTCTCCCTCCCTTCCTCCCTCTATCTCCTTCTTTTTTTCTTAGAACACATACTTGTTTAAAGCCCAGAGCAAATGCAGATGAATGGCATCTTAACAAGGCATCTTCCGGTACATCCTACATCACCAATCACTACTTTCATTTCATCTCATCCTGGCAGTAACTCCTCCCACCTCATCTCCTTTTTTCAGTTTGCTACCCTCCCCATCCCAACAATTAAATCCATTTTCAGTTCACTCCACCTAGCCTTCTTCTTCTCTGCCTTTTAACATTCTTACTACCAGCTATGTATAGCCATCCTTCCCATCCTCCCTTGCCACAGCCAGTCCTGTATTAATCTCTACATCCATGCTGATCAACTTCTTGCTTCATTGCTCTTGGGGTGGTGTGTGAAAACTGAATGTGGGCCACTGATTATGCAGGATGATGGAGCACATATTGTCAGCAGGGCTGTCACCAGAGCCTTGTTCAGCCTGGATCCATCTCACCTTTGCTGCATAAAGAGGAGTGTGTCTATTCCTGTTTGTGAGCTGAATCTAAGCGAAATGCTACTGAGTAGCCATGAGATCCGGGTCGAGTAGGCAGAGGGGACAGTGACCGTGGTCCCTCAACAGGCTGACACTAAATTACTAAATCAGTTTAAAGCTACTGTAACTAAGGCCAGTGGGGGCAGCAGGGACACTCACAACAGGCAGAGGGAGGAAGGAGGAAGGAAGGGAAAGACACTGGGAGGAATGACAAGAATCCTCCCCTTCAATGTCAACACTGCTGAAAAGTGCTGATCTGCTTTAAAAAAAAGAAAGAGGATCTCACACACAAACAGCAAGATTCACAAGCACATGCATACTCAGTTTAGTCGTGATCCATATCACACTTTAAAGGCGGTTTTACTGTGCTTCTGATTACATTTAATAAATTTATTCATCACTATTCCCAACAGCGCAGAACTGTAACTTTTAAAAGAGGAAATAACACAATTTTCTATTCTTTTTCAAACAAAAAGCAATAAAAAAACACCCTTTCTCAATTCCTTAATTGGAAAGTAACTGGAAAGTAACTAAATCCATTTACTAAAGTAGTGTGTTCTGGCCCTGAGTAAAGTTCAGAGGTACTTTATCTGATTATGTCCATTCTGCTACTTGTCCTCTACCACAATTCAGGGATAAATAGTGTATTTATAGCCTAGTGTGACCTCGTTTATTTGACACTTGGCTGCTATTATTGTGTAAAACCTTGTTCTAAAATGGGCCAGTTAGTGGTTTTACTTTCGTTTATGGATGCAGAACTTTTAAGAGTAACTTATTTATACACTGTGGTAGACGGGCCACCACCAGCTTTGCGTGTTAGCTTATGGTGGCTAATGTTAGCAGAATTAAGATAGCTATGTAGGTAACATCACTAAACCAGTTCACCCACTTGATTAAACTGTTCTACATTTACACTTGCCGTCTTACCGGGAGTTTGATGGAGTGTTTCTGTGGAAAACGGGTCCGTCAGCTAGGCGCAGGGTTTGGGGAGGTTCCACTAGCTAACGTTATGCCAAACTAACTAAGATATAACTTTAGCTTCTACTAAAGGAGAAGAAATACTCCCGATCAGTTGCACTTGTGTTTTTAAATTATGTTCTTAGCTGTCTGCTGGCCTATATTCAGGAATCACCTGGTTTGTTCAATGTTGTATGGTGTACAACTAGGGACCATGTAGCTTGACTGTGACGACGGGGCTAAGCTAGCTAGCTAGCAGCTGTCTGCTTATAAAACCACAATCGCTCATGTAGCCTGTTCTGGAAATGCCAGCAATAAAGTAAATGAATAATGTAACTGACAAAGATGAGGATTAAGGATACCTATGTATCCTTACATCCATCACATCAGCAGGATTGACAGTGACACAGTCATTTATGTTGTCCATAAATCCCCAGTGTCCACCCATACTCTTACACTGCTTGTATTACGAGCACAGATCGATTTCTCCTGGTCACAGTGATGACAGAATTTTAATTTCCTAATAGAAAACCAGCAGAGCAAGGACTATGGCTGTGATAGGCCCATAACAGAGACTGTGTAGATAAGGTTGGGCAAAACTGGTTCAAAGATAGAGTAGATATGTTAGCTTAATGTAACAGTTTTAGTGTGGAGAATAAAGCAACCTATTTTAGATTTTTAGAAGAATTCTTTCATGCCCTTTCTTTTGATAAATGAACGTTAAAATACCCAATTATTCATTATATAATAGCTGTTATTGATAAAAGCCATTCAACTAACTGTTACTGATCTATGCACAAAGCTGCTCAGCAATTTGCTGATGATTGATGGCTTAATTTCAACTCATTTTTAAACATGGAAGCAAGGGGAGAGAAGGCTGCATCATGAAGTCAGCAGTGTGCCCATCCTTTAAGCAGTTGTCAGTGCAAAACACGAGCTTCCTCAGTTTTTCTGTTCTGTCACAACAAATCATGGGATCAATCAATGTGTGGGAAAATTTACATAATTTTGTTTATATCAGAGAGATTGAACTTTGGTGCAAGCTGGGAATCAATTCAGAAGTCATCTTCTAGGATGTGGAGAAAGAAACGCACACAAATGAATTACATCAAAGGCAATCTGATTTCTGGCAGGTGTTTTGGTCCGTTGTATGAGGACTCTTTTTCGCTCCCATACAACTTTGTGTATCTTAAAAAGCTTATGCACTGAGTTTCAAAACAAATTTGGATTTAAAAAATGATAGATAGATAGATAGATAGATAGATAGATAGATAGATAGATAGATGTGATATCACTAAGGAAATCCAAACGTTTCTGTAAACTGCCTTTTGCAAAGATGTTAATAAAACACAGAATATAGGGGTGTGATTGGTTTATTTGAGTTTTTTTTCCATTATAAATTCTACACAGCTGGAACAAAATAAAAAGTTCAACATCAACACGCCACAGAGGTCACAACAACATATCACAAAATATACAGTATACAGTACAGAGCGAGAGACATAAAGCATATTTCATAAAAAAGAATACTAAATTATACATTTCTCTCTTCTCTCAGCAAGTGGACACACATGGGAAAATGGAAACTCAGTAGTTCCAAAATGAAGAATCCCCTTTCTAAAAAAAAATAAGAAAGAAAAGAAAGAAAAAAACTTTTACACCACAGTATTTTTAAATATAAAACATTAAAATAAAAAAGAAGACCTAAGTTCACTTATTTAACTTGGCCTGCCATCACAGGTTTACTAACAGTCAACATGGCAAGCTCAGCAGACAGACATAAAAAATAAAAATCAGTCTTATGGGTGCAGACAGTGGTTTGAAGTGACCTTTCTATAAAAAGAAAAATAAAGAAAAAGAAAAAAGGCCATTAGTTCCAGTGTACAACAAGGTAAAAGGGCGTGTCAACCTGCTACCAAACCTCTCTGACCTGCCAACAGTGTAGGGGAGCAACAGAAATGCCAGTATTGCATACCTAAACAGAGAAACACTCCTCCCTTGACACTCAAAAACTCTTTGTAAAAGGTACACCACACACTCCTGCAATAAAGCCAATCTTTCCCACACCTTTCCTAACCTGCTCTTGTTGAGCTAGTGTGAAGCTGAGCCAGGGATTTCTCCTAACAGGCTCAAAGATTCAAAGCATTTATTGTCATATGTACAGTAAGAAAACACGTTTCCCTGCACAATGAAATTCTTATTAACAGATGGATCTGTGACTACTGCTTCATGGCCCCTGAAAGTCCCATTGTGTTGTTATGGAAAAACAACAATACAGCAGGCCACAGTTTCAGATTGTCAACTATTTTACCAAATTCCACCAATTTTTACAGTGAAAGCTGATGATAATTGTGCTTTCTGAGTGAAACCACTCCTGGCTGGGATTGCAAGACTGGTTTCATCACAGAGAAAAGAATGAAAGAATTAGCAAGAAATGTTACAGTAGCAACTACCAGCTCTGGTCAGCAGCTTAGTAACCAGAGACACTGAGCTCCACATAATGTGCAGTTCACCTCCTGCCTGACAGACAGCCTAATCGGTATTTGAATAATACAAGCAAAGAAAACAAAGTGAACAACTGGATTATTAATATAATACATCTATGCTGGAAATGGCAAGAACAAATTTATACAACATAATAGCCTGCTTATTTGGTGGCTTTTTATCTGCATTTAAAAAGGCAAGCAATTTAAGAGAAAGGATTGACGTTTTTAAATGCCTGGGCCGTTTCTATTGAAAGCTAATCAGGGATATTGGAAAATAAATATATCAACGTCCCAAAGAACAGGTGGCAAAAATGCAATTAAACAAATAAACACTAAAGCAAACACAGCACTTTTCTGAGGAGAAATGTTGCACCCATAAGTGCCAAACAGTGTGTTCAGGAAATAATTGCTGTGAGTGTAAATCATTACTTGTTATTAAGGTGAATAAAACAGACTGACAGTCTGTGACAATTTTTCCTGATATACCCAGATGAGAGCAGAGAACATCTCAAAAGAAAATACACATTCTATGTTACACTTGTATGCAGACAAACTCCAGAAAACAAACAAACAAATAAACAAGCAGTGGCTTAATGGCATTTTGTGTTTTATTTGGGGGAGGTAAAAATGATTCTGACACTCGTCACTGTTCACCTGTATTCTGCAGTGGAGTCAACCACAAAATGTGACTGGTAAGTGAAGAGTTACAATCAAAAGAAGCCATAATAATGTCATCTGGTGATGTCACATTGTCACGGTTTGACTTTGCACATGTATGGTCTCCAACCTGTGGTGTCACAGATGGATGGAGCTGAAGCTTTAAGAGCCAATCTGTCTATAAGAAATAGGGGAAAAAGCTCCACCCAACAGGTCAACTCCAGGTTTTAAAACAAGCGTAACAAATGCCAAACATGGTGTGCCTCCCAGGATTCCCGAAACAACCACATTTCCATGCTCCACCTGGTCCCCCTCTAGCGTAGTTTTAAAAATTAGTCTTGTTGTCACCATAACTGTCGTCATTCCCTTCTTCCCTCTGTCAGTTGCCTTCTTTGACTCTGTTCATCACTGTCAGATAGGAAGAGAAAAAAACACACAAAGAACAATATAAATATAACCAATGTGGAGACAGTCAGTTCTGGTTATAAGGATTTTAAAAAGGCTACAGTATTTATGACTTTCCAGTATTTTCCTTCTAATCCACTTAGACCAATATTGGGTGTGTTCAATGAGGACATGGAAGATTGTAACTGAACATTAAAATAAATAATATACACAAGTTGGATTGGTCACGGTATCCCTACTGCCTGGTGCTTGTATATCATATGTTATAATAGTTCTTCTGGCTATTTTATGCCTTTATTAGAGAGTGACAGTGGTGACAAGAAATGAGGGAACATTATATTTCAGAGCATTAAACTATATCTCTAACGTGTACTGCAGCTGCCATTGTAGACTGTAGGCATTACAAGCTTATGTAATTTTATTTGTGTACCTGGCAGAAATAAGGCATTCTCCTAAATAATTCAGTTGGTAAGATGTAACATGTGCCTGTGGCTTGGCTGCGGCCTTTTAGAAGACAACTTACAGGGTGGTATTTTTTTAATGGCACCACAAGAAAGATACCTCACTTGATATCATACGGAGAGAGACTTTGACAGCATCTCATTACATCAATTTTAAAAGCAAAGCAGAATGTGTCTGCAATCTCCTTGCAGTTCTGAAATGCCATGCAGTTCCAAAAACCCCATGAAACAAGGCTCATTTAAATGGACTTTCACTTTCAAGCCAAACATGCCACTACCACAGATGCCATTATAAATGTTCTACATTTGTGATGAGATGTTCGGATGACTCTGCACAGCTGTCACGCTCCATCATTTGAGCTGCAGGGACAGCTTTCTCAAACATGTGCTCTTTAAACTAAAACTGATTTTAGACACTCAATCAGCATGACTGATGTGTCTCTGAAGGTATTTCTGCTGACTGTAAAGCTTGTATTCATGTCAAACTGATTGCATTTGAAGAATTAAGTTTGTCTACATGACCATTCTCGGATTTGTGTTGATGCAATAAATCCAAAGAATGACTACAGCATATTACACTGCTGTTACGTTACTTTTGCATGCTTCTCCACCTCCAAATAATATGAATGTACTTTAACTACATTTACCAGCCAAGTTAAACTACTGAACCACTGCTACCAAAATTTAAGCCAATGACCCTCGACCCCTTAGTAGGGCTGTCACTTTTTTTCCAAACGTCAACGAGGTTTGAACTGACACGACATTTATATGTAAGTATAGGGGTAGGACAGTCAAACGCCTCACTCGTCTGTGGTAACGTTAACTTTGGTGCCTCACTTGGAGAGTGAGGTTGCAGGCAAATCCTCAGATGTGCTGGTGTACTTGAGTAGGCATCTGCTTTTTTGTGGAGTCAGCAAACTGTTTATCTTGACACTCACTATTGTCTGGTCAGCACAACCTTGCCCACTACTATCCTGCATTTCATCCTTGCAAACATAATGTTACTAGCTTATTTGACTGAGAGGTCTGGTTAAGCTGATAGTGACTATTAAGAACATCCTCTGTTGGACCACAAGGCAAATTACATCAAATGGCCTTTTGTGCTTATTGACATAGTGTACAATGTTGGATTCGAACACGTTATTACAGTTCTTTTCTTTTTGCCACATTCAAAATTTGAGGAAAAAGTGACAGCCCTGCCCTTAGTCTCATCCTGTGTCCACTGGCCTGACCTGTTCTGTGGACGGTCTCTTGTTAAGGAGACCGTCCTCTTCGTTAGCTTTATCTGTCTTCATCTCCACCACAATGTCGTTGTTCACCTCTCCACTGGCCCTGCAGAGAGGAAGTGGGAAAACAAAATGCACAGAAGAAACACAAACAAAAACCATAAAAGAAAGAGTCAGTGAACCACAGCTAATGCTTTTAGACAGTTTGCTGACCACTGTGTAATGTTCAAATAGTTTTAGACAGCTTATATTTTAAAGTTTTGTTTACTGTTCTGGGGTAACTGTAGCTCAAAGTTAGTTTTTTTTTTCTACACAAACGAAGATGGTACTGTGTCAAATCTAATGTGAGATCAAAATGCTTTTCAATTTAATTAAAAATCCTCACTAGAACCAATGCATAACACATCAATGCATGCTGTTTACATTTTGCAGACACTGAGTAAATGCCACTTGTACTCCTATATGGAATTGCTGGAAATAATGTAAAGGAATGTAATTATATTTAACTCTTATAGAGAGTTCATCGCATTCATCTACGTGTAAAAAAATAATGTACTGAAAGTTGAAACCTTTTTTTTTAATCATCACTGTTGTCCTTGTTAAGCCCCTGATAACTTCATATGCCACCACCACCACCACACAGGCAGTGTCGTTTAGTTTAACATGTCACACTAAATCACTGCCAACATGAATCTCTTCTGTCCCTCTATCCTTCCCGCCCGCCTCTCTACTCACACTTCCTTCTTGCCCTTCTTGCTGCAGGGCCGCTTGCTCTTCTTGTTCAGGAAATAGATGAGGGCCACCAACAGCAGGAGCAGCAGAACACACACCACCACGGCTATCACCACTGCACTGGAGCCTCCCTGCTGCTTGTCAGCTACAGCGCCACAATACAGGGACACATGGAGGGAGAGATGGGGGGGAGGAGCAGGGGGTGGGGATTGGGAAGTGGGGTCAGTTTAACTTTTGAATGCAATGACTGAAATGTGATGGGACCCCAAAACAGGGCCTGTATATGCACAGAAAATACTAGACAAATGACCAGAGTCAAAACAAACAAACAAACTAAACACTGAACATACTTACCCATTCAACTACACTTGTGTTACTATACTTGTGAGGACATGACACTACAGTGATGTTCCTCTAGATAAACAACTATAAATGTAAAGGTTTTGAAGGCTAAAATCAATATCAATAGTTTGCTGTCCTGCTGAGAATATGGACTGTTTCAGTTTGTTAAATCTGAAGCTAGAGGTCAGCTTAGCATAAAGACTGGAAACTGTAGGAAACAGCTACAGTAGCTAGTATTTAGTGTACCAACAACACAGAGGTATTGATCTTCTCCTTTAACTCTCTTTGACAAATAAATGTATAATTTCCAGTAACAGTATAACAGGGCACCTCAGAAATAGATCTATTAAACATTTAAAACTTTGGGCAAAGTACATTAAATTGTAGGTAACCATAGCAACAGTGTTTCTGTTTCTCTCACCTGACCTCAACATGCACTAAACAAAGTTTGTTTGTTTTTTTTTTTGCTAATGTCAAGTGTTCAGGGTATGATTTAATCTAAAAATGAAAGGGCCAGGTAACTCTCTGCCTTGTTCATCATTATTTTCTTTTATCAGGACTCCTGTAAATGTATTTGTAGTAAGAGTGTGTCCACCTAAGTGTTTTATTTGTCTCTGAAAAGGTACTTGAACTTGACCATTCTTTCAAACCTGGAATCATTAAATTATCTTTTAGCAAGCAGTACATATTCATTCTGAGCTACAATCCTGCCTTGAACTGAAGATTTACATAAAAAAATAAAGGTTACCATTACAAAAATAACTGTGGTCAGGGGGAACATCTATCATATTGCCAGTGAACAACACGTGTATACTAAATAAGCTGATACTGTACTTTAATTCTAAATTTCAAGTTGTGATGAATAAGCATGGCAACACAACTTCCCCTCTCAAAAATATAATAAAACATGCAAAAAGTGACAATCCTGGCCTCACAACTACAGTAACACAAGCATGCACAAAACAACCAAACACATTAGCTCTTGTAAACACAAATACACTAAACTGTGTGTGCACATAAGACATCAATACACACTTTCAGCTCTAGACATATACCATACACATGTTAATAGGGTTAGCGATACAGACCTGACTTAAGCACAGGGTTTCCAGAGAGCAGCACTTTGAGAAAAAAAGAGTTTCTCAGTCCCATGGCAAAGCAAAGCAAAAGCCATAACACACACCACTAAGAGCATATGCACGCAAGGCTATAAACAATTCTACACAGGGCACAGCAGTGAGTGGAAAACAAAGGGTAAAGTGAAAAACAAGAAGTCAGTCGGAAAGAAGAGGTGACACAGTGAACACACAAAGCGAGGAAAGGAAGGAACAGAATAGAATAGAATCCTTTATTGTCCCCAAGGGGCCACAAAAAGTTGTAGCAGCATCCATAAAATATAGGACAGACATCATACAAAGGTGACAAGAGAAAAAGAATAACAATATACAATATCCACAGTGTCTGGTAGCAAGAGGGCAAATATACAAGATTACAGTACAGCAGAGGACGATGTTTGTGTATGGGTGTGTGTGTGTGCAGGCTGGGGCAAGAGGAGATGGGTGGAGGGGGGATTTGTAAATCACAGGGTCTGTACAACAAAGAGTCCTGAGAGAAGGAGGGAAGAGAACAGGAGGAGGAAGAAGGCTCTACCTCTGCCAGCTGCGTTGTCACCTGCTGTAAAAGAGAAGAACAAAAAGAAGAAAGGGTTAATTTTGCAGGTTATGGATCTGGTGAAAGAACAAAAGAAACTAGCAGTGGGCTGCATCACTATTTGTAAAACTATTTGTAAAGTCTAAGGTCTTGGTTAATAGCTCGTTTCAAAAGCAATGTACTAAATCTGATTATTGCACCACTAAAAAAATCTTAGCTGTTGACTGTTCATGTGTAAATTGGCTGCTAAGAAACATCTGTAAAAGAAATAAACTATGTCAACAATTCTCAAAGACCCCACCCACCCCGAGCACCCCGACTGTTCACACCTCTACCCTCAGGCCGGAGCTACAGGAGAGCGAAATGCAGAACCTCTAGACTGAAAAACTCTTTCTTTCCGATGGCCATCAGACTTCTAAACAGCTGACTCAAGAACTACTTCATGTAATTCCACCGGTACTGTTAACACATTCAGTTTGCACAAGCATAATTGTACACTCACTGCTGACTATTTGCACACACAGCTCCCATGTAGAATCAAAATCAGAATCAGCTTTATTGGCCAGGTGTGTCGGACGAGAAATTTGACTCTGGTACATCGGCTCTCAATGGTCTTATTACTTTATAACTAGGCTGATTTTGAAGAGATTGTGCACCTGGCACTAGTTTTATTGTCTTTTCAGTTCTAAAATGAAAATTTGCAAAAATAAAAACCCATTTCACTTATTCACAATTCTAGTGGATTTTTTTTTAACTGAATCACATTTTTAGGATCTAGAAAAACACACACACACACACGCACACACAGATATCTCAGTATCAAAATTAGTTATCAAAAACCTGTTCTAGGGAAAATATGAAGATGAGAGAGATAAAGCAGCAACACTCCTCTCCTGACACTAACCTGCTTTGAGAGATACTGAGAAGGTCTCTTTATCTGTTCCATGCTCATTGGAGACCTCGCAGGTCACCCCGTCCTTCATGACCTCAGCTGTGGCTTTTAGGGTCACAGTGCTCACCACTTTGTTACCTTCCACTGATACAGACTGGCAGGAGCAAAGAAAGTGGGGAAGAGAGATGGAGGTCAAAAAGAAGACATGACTTTTGCATCATTTCCTCATCATTTCTTACCTATATTTTAATTTTGCAGCATATATTCCAGTTAACATTTTGCACTCTTTCTTTCTTTATCCAAATATGTCATATTTCAGGTATCATTTTGCATAGTGTGGCTTTATACCATATTTCTTCTCATAACACTCATTTATACACAAATATCTTGTCAGTTGTCTTTAAAAACTTGTCTATATCACCCATCACCCGTGTATCACCATTTGCCTTTGAAATGTATACAAATTCAGGAGAATCATTAGATTTTTATCAAATTGTATAACTTTATTTTATGAAATGTTTCATTTATCAAACTGTATCCCCTCTGTAATTCTCTTTAAAGCTGCTTTGGATACAATTTTATTTTATTTTCACATTAGTTAATAAAATATTGCTTTTCATAACCCCATGAACTGTTTCTCTCCTTTTGCTTTTAAAGTTCAACATCTTCCAAGATGCTATTAAAAATAAATCAAGCTTCAAACTACACATCTTCCCTTAAATAAAAACACAAATATTAGTATGTCTGTTTTTGTATTACATCTTCACTTCTCTTTTTATAGTTTTAGTTGATCCAGGAAAGTAGCAGCGACTTCTGTTTAGTAATTGATTCCTGTAAACTGACACTAGGAAAGAGGTATTTTTGTCTCTGCTTGTCTTGGCTGTGTTTACACATTTGTACCTCTTTTCCTGAGGGTGTCCAGGTGAACTGAGGGGCAGGGTAGCCATAGGCTGAGCACTTCAGAGTCACCATGTCTCCTTCCTTCCCCACCTCCCCAGCAGTAGGAGGGACAATCTCTGGCTTTCCTACAGAGGGAGTGAGAGTGTGGTGGGTGGGCAAGGAAGACTTTCTTAGGACACAATGCAACACATTGAAAGCAACGTCCTTCCTCTGACTAAAACAATACCCTACACACCCCTGCACCACCTATGCTCATTATCCTGCATGTACAATATGTGTTGTGGTGGTGCTGTGATGTGGGTAAATTAGAAAAAATAAAACATGAGTGAACATTGTTTTATTAGTTTTCCTGAGGTAATCTGTGCATGCAGGACTTTCAGTGTGTGTGTCCATGCGAGTGTGTTACCTTTAACAGTGAGGTTGACACTAGCCTGGGCTCTTAGTCCTTTCACAGATGGCACCTCTCCAACACACACGTACGCTCCAGCTTTATCATAGGAAACATGTTGTATTGACAGAACGCCGTCCTGAGAGAGCACCTTGGAGTCCTGGAGGTACACAAACATCCAGAAATAAAACTGACTGGACTCTCACTACTGTCCCTTTACTTTTTCATTTTATTCTTTGTGTGTGAATATAAGTGTAGCACAGCGTCGTGAATATCTAGTTTGAAGGTCTGCTGCTACGCTGGGAAAGCATAAAAAAATCCTTCACACACACTTTTGCAAAGCCCAGTAATAACAGATCAAAGTCAGTCCTCCAAGATGAACTAGGCTATTGAAATTCCTCTCAATATCTTCTCATAGGAATCCTTTCTAAGAACAAACACAGTCTCCACCCAGTGAGCTTCTCTCACACAGGAGACACAACAATAGATACACTGACTACAACAACAGGCCTGACACCAGAGGAACACTGTGCACATAACACATGGGTGAGAATACCAACATACCAGTGGTATAAAATAATTTGTGGTACTGAGTTGCTTCAGATACACTGACAGAGTAAACAAAAGTCCTTCGGCATGTTCACTGCAGAAAATAAACTACTGTGTTATTTGCATTGCTTGTCACAGAAAAGGGCTTCACGTTGCCATCAACTACATTATTACCTGCAGCTTGCTGCATACAGAATACACAAACTCCAGATGTTTTAATTATCCATAGCCCCAATCAGTTCAACTCGGACAGTTTGAAATCTCATAACATGAAGTTATCCTGTCACTATAAAACTCAAAATATACAGAAAAGTGAAAGATTAAAGGAAAACCCAGCATAAATTGTCTAAGTAATTTGCCGCCAGAACAGCTTCAGTGATGCTTACATGCTGAATTATATGTCACTAGAGACACACTGCATGCGTTGGTGTCTCTCATTCACAAAATAGAACAAATGCCAGTGTGTACGCTCCAGCTGCTGCACTCAGTGCACCAGGGCCACAACTGTCTTTAAAAGGAGCCCTGCCTCGTGTTGTGTGGCAGCTGCACATAAAGTTAGTTCTGTATGTCATTTCTAAAATGTTTTTTTTAACCGTAGAAGGTTACTGTAAAAAACTTGGTTGTAAAACAAAAAAAAAAAAAAAAAAAAAAAAAAAAAACTTAATCTGGACCATGATTAAAATTGTCCAAATATGGAGCCCTGTGTAGGACTGAATTCTGGGTCAACAACCAGCCACTGCTGTAAATTGTAACAGTGATAGTGTTGCAGTTTAAACACTATTAAGCAAAGAATGCTCAGGAATATTCTGTGGTTAGATGAGGAAAACAGCAACTTTCTATATTCTTAGAAATACACAATTTTCCCATAAAAGTGAAAGGAGAAGGAAGGAAGGTTAACAAAGTGAAGCAGCATACCTTTTTCCAGTGAACAGTATGTGATTCGGAAGCCTTGGTCTTACATTGCCACTCCACCTTGTTCCCAAGCATGACAACTTGTGGCTCGAAAGGGGTGACACTCATTGGCTCAATGACTGACAAAAAAACATGAAACATGAGGCCTTACATACATTATAAGCAGTTAAAGAAGTGCCACGTAATATCAAACAGCTTCTCCTCACTAAACCATATAATAAGGTCCTTGGAGTGGCCATACTTAGCTGAACATTAAAAAAAATCTTTTGTAAGTACAAATCCAATGCACTTGCTGTGAAGTTAAGCCCATTTTGAAGCCCAGGTTAAGTCAGTTCCATGCTATTTCTAGGATATCTCTGCTTAATGTGTGTGATAAAATCAAATTAGTGTGTGTAGTTGGGGTAACATTAAAGTAACAGTTGAGCTGTGAAAATTTTAATTAGATATCATCCGGTTGAAAGGGTTTCATTAAAGCTCATTTTGTTCTGACTCTTTTAATTCTGAGTTCTAGAGAAAAAGAATGACTTTACTGTAAGGGCTAAACTGCAGAGACAGGAGGAAAATTGGTCTTCATGACCATTTAGATCTTCTATAGTTGTGTGTGTGTTTGTGCCTTTGGCTTACTCACAGTGAACAGTAAGGTTGATGGTTCCACTCAGATCAGCATCCAGGTTATCAAAATCTGTGGCTGTGCACTTGTACACACCAGCATCTGCGCGCTTAACAGATTTCAGTGTCAGAAGACCAGCGTGACCAGTGATGGCTTTTTCCTGAATGTGAACGGACTGGGGATTGGTAGCAAGGGACATGGTCAAAGACTGAATGAAGCAGTAAGCTTGTCTTTGATTAATTTTTATTTTTTTGTTTAAAAAATTGGGATATATAGAGCAATGTGTGTATGAAATGTGCACGCACATCTTTAGTGAAGTCAAACTCAGGCTGAGGATTTCCATCAGTCTCACACTGCATTGTGACATCGTCGCCTTCTTTGACTGGACTGGTGTTGAGCAGGGTAAAAGTTGCTTTCTCAGAGGGATCTGGACAGACAAAACCAGACACTGAACAGGTGAACATTCCTCCTTTGGATACATTTACACTGTTACACTGTATATAATCAGTCATAGAGTGCAATGCATTCCAGAAGGGATGCTTTACTTTCCTAGTACCTCCTCTTTCCCCATCATTCCTCTTTAGCTAAAAATCAAATTTCATTGTGGGTGCATTAAAATAGTGTTTAATCGGAGGAACCATATGCAACCAATGAAACGGGCTCAGAAGCTGCAACACGAATAGTTGTTTGCTGATGATGGATAACTTTTATAGGGCTTCAACTAACAGCTAATTTCATTATCAATTTATTTACCAATTATTTTGACAGTAAATTAATTAATCATTTTCTCAGTACATGTCAAAATATTGAAAAATGCCTGAACAACAGTGCAAAACCAAAAGATCTTACTATCATATACAGTATGAAAAAAAATCTGGCATTTTTGTTCAACAATGACTGCAAGGATCAATCAGCTGCAAAAATACACAACTGCCAATAATATTTCTGATTATAAATTAGTTAATTACTATATTTTTCTTAAAACACTAAGCAAAATGATTCCAGGAGACAGAGCCATTTTAAGAACCCATGTCCACTCACAGTTGAGGTTGATGGTGATGGTGTCAGACTTCTTCTGTTTGATCTGATCTCCTGGCATGCTGTACTCCACGGTGCACAGAAACACAGAGTCCTTGTCAGCCTTGGTGGGCTGCATGTACAAGGTGCTCTTGATAGTGTAAAGACCTGAAGCCTCCTTCACCACTGAGGGAATCATGTAGGTCTCTGACAGAGCGGGTGATAGAGAAAGGACAAAAAGAGATTTGTTAGCATGAACGACTTCAAATAAGCAACTGATGGACTGACTACAGAAGGCACACGGGCTCTCTTCTGCCCTGTGCTACATAACTTATATACGTATTTGTTTATGAACCAGAAGACACATACTCTCTTTCCTGTCCTTGATTTCAGGAAGGGGCTGGTCATCTTTGAACCAGATAATTCTTGGCTGGGGATATCCATTCATAGTCACACAAGTACCAATCTGATACACACAGGGAAAGATGGTAAGGATGAAAGATAAGTGTTAGAAGATGTGTATCATCTGTGCTCATCCAAAAAATGTAAATAAAAAATCAGGGAATGTGCAAACACATACCTCAGAGCTGGAACTCTCCCCCACAGAAATGGCCTGACTAGATGGCCTTGTGAGTTCTGGCTTCTCAGGAGCAACTGAGACAGAAAAAGGGAGAACTCATTATTATTATATCATTATGATTCACAGGAAGAACAATGTTAACCCTGGGATACAAACACACACAGGCCACCTTCCACCCATGCCGTCCAACCCACAGGCGTCAGCTCACACACAACCACACAGGTGTGTGGGAGCTACAGTGTGTGTTTCTATACTCTATACATTCACATGCCAAGGTCATCTTATCGCTGCCTGCAGCTGGCGACTTCTTATAAAATAAACAGTAGTTGGCATTTCACTTTCTGTCTCACATAATCAATTCTTTGTTTAAATTTTTCGCTGCACTGCTCCCAGAACTGTTGTAGCATTTTAAAACTGTTGCCGTTCCACATGCTGTGCAGAGCAGCCATTCATATGTAAGCACAGTCATTTAGATGAAAAATAAGGGCTTGTTAACATTCCAAAGTAGGTTTCTTCATCATCAAATGACTAAAACTCTCCTTTGTGGCCTATTATATGCAGCCTAAGTGCATTTTTAGCCTTAACTTGAAATGAAATGATTTCAAAGTGAGTTAAGACAGTTAAGGACACAGGGAGAAGCAGGACAGTTTTTTTTTATCGTGCTGTTGCTTATCACACATAATGTTTACTCTCTGCTCTAGGCCTCCCAGTAGAGAGGAAGCAGGCTATCGCTGCTGCAGCTCAACCTTCAGGAGACCTCATAACTCAGACCTATTGAGTTAAAGGCAAGACAGGCACACCATAATTTATCCCTCAATGGAGTCAAGTGGTCAAATGTGGACAAAGAATAATTGCTGGTTTGTGAGACAGGCTGTTTTCAAACAACGGTGGGTATTAAGTGCATCTAAAAAGGCCTTTGTCAAACAGCTCCTCGCTGAGATGTTGTCAAACCCTGACTGGCCCATTCACAATTAATAGCTTCTTTTATGAGATTACTTTAAAGTTCTGTGCCTCTGAGTGCATAAATGTTAATAGACAACTTGTAAGGTCTTCTTTGAAGTAGCAGTTTAACTAAAGAGAGGATTGTTCTGCTATTCTTCCAAAGCAAAACTCTTCCTTTTTAGAGTGATTGTTTTGTCCAATATAAAATGCAAATGAATCCTATTGATTTTGGTATGACTACTAAATGCTAAATGTATGGTCGATGTTGGCTTTGACACTGCTTTGAGAAAGGTAAGGGCAGAGGGACGTGCACCAGGGTCAGCCTTCAGCGCCGCGGTGATAAATGTGAACAGTTATTAAGGTGAGATATATGAGACATGACAGGTGTGATTGAATTATTCATCAACTGCGTGAAGAGTGATTATACTTTGGTTAATTGACCTCTGGGGAACTTATCTGAAGAAATAAATATGTTTTCCAAGCATTAGAAAAAGCTCCAAATTCACACGATGAAAAACTATTACTCTAAGTTTGCTCTATTCTTAACAGGTATAGACGACTATGACGAATCAAACTTTATGATACCATATTACTATAAAGAGGTTTTACATTGAGTTACTTTTAGCTGTGCGAAATGCAATCAGCAAAGTGTATTACATGCATCAGGTACACTTCTAAATCAACATATGCATGAATACACACGTAGATCTAATTAAAGCCATAAACCTTCAGTGGCAGTGACAACCGAGTCATAAGTTCTCTGGCGAGGAGTAGTGAAAAGGTCATGCTGAGGTCATTTAAAAAGCTAAAGTGCACTGGCTGACTCACAGAAGACTTTAAGCATAGTGGTGGCATCTCCGACCCCATGAGCGCCAGCAGTGACCTGGCACCAGAAGACAAGCTCGTCGGATGGTTGAACGGAAGAGATGGTCAAGGTGAAGTCCTGTCCGATAGAGATCCGGCCGGTCAGCGGAGTGCCATCGTCAGTTTCACCCTCGCCACCCTGGGAACGAAAAGCCACACGCTTCCTGGTTCCCTGCTCTTCCTGAATGGTCAGATAGAAAGAAGCAGTTTTAGAAAAGGAGAAAATACAAAAAAAGAAAGAAGCAAAAGAAATTAGGGGACCAAAGACCTCAAAAGAAATATATAAAAAAAACTTCTGACAGTTGATTCCTTTATAAAATGTTCTTCATGACTTGTTTCCAAAACAAACATTATTTTCTCGTGTGGAAGAAAATGAATATTTGGAAGTTACTTACAATGTACCACTCAACAACAGTGTTGCTTGCTGATGGTGGGACAGTGTATCTGCAGGACAGTTCGGCAGTATCTCCTTTTAACACCTCCACTTTAGGAGCTACCTTCACAGTCACAAACCCACTGCATACTGTAGAAAAAAACAATGACAGAGCACAAAATATGATTCAGGACTTGGGTAGTGGCAAAATGAAAGGACATGTCAAAATATTACAGGAGCAAATGAGGAGATGCAGAGGGAAGAGACAAATAATAAAATCACAGTGACTACAAGTTGTCTCCATGTTATTAGACTGAAAGCCTCAGTGTTTGTTTAATAACCTCAGGGCTTCTGACTGTTCAAATTATGTTATGAGAAACAGGGACAGCTGTGAGGGACTTTATCAGCAGTGGTGCAAACCGTTTCCTGTAACTCCTGGAGCAGTTCGCTCTCATCACTCAGCGCACACACATCATATACACGAGCAGCAAGAAGAGGCCGAGGTCTGAGATTACCCCCACGCTTTTAGGCATAGTGCCTCCCCCGTTGAAAACACATGAGAGACACATGTTAGTGCATGCAAAATGCTGTACAGTAAATATGTACACAGTTGTGAGGCCCCTGTGATGACAAATGAGATCAGTGCAGTGCCAGAGGAACAGACCACACAAGCACAGACACAAACAGACTTACACTGTACCTCACCCATGACACAGAACAACACAAATCCTTTACAAGAAAAATGAATTATCAACACTTCAGAAAACATATAATCCTAGAATATTAAAATGAATATTTCACTAAAACATCCAACAGACTAGATTCACAGGAAATACAACATTTGTAATGACAACAGAAAGAAAGGCAAAACCAAATATATGAAAACCTCCAAAGGAACTTGTCAAACCACTCCTCCAGCATAATCCAGTTTTGTTCAGTATTGTCAAAGCACACAGCAAAACACCTAAATACACTGCACTTATGTCATGCAACTGCCTGTAGCATAAACAAGGTTTGTTTGGAACATATCAAACATTTTGACACATGGCAGGACTCTGCTGCAGGAGTGGCGTTAGTTCTTTCGACAGACACTTTGAAATGTTTTTTTTTTTTTTGACAAGACTCTGGGTCTCCATTGGAATGTATGGTAAATGCTATAAATCCAACCAGACTCTAATAGATGTTCTCTCTACCCCTTAAAGGTGTATGAACGAGTCAAGTCAAATTCTATTTAAACAGCCCAATATCATCAATACAGTTCTTTCTAAGAGCTCCTTGTACAGCATTCAACACCTTCTATACTTGAACTGGATATGGAAACGCTTTTCAAAGAACCCCTTAAGGGGGTTGTGACTAGCACTGTCAGTGTGCTCCACTGAACAGAGACATTTGCACAATGACTCAGTTCAGTGGAAGAGTATGCTGCTAGGGGGGACCCAAACTGGTTCCTGTTGGGATAGGAACACTATATCTCTAGCTACAGACCAACAATATGAAAAGGAGATTGCTTTACAGAGAGGGTAGGCAGGAAAACAGAGAAGGGTGGGATGGAGGAAAGGAAGGAGCCCCATCTCTGCTAATAAACCACCTGCAACAGGTACAGTGTCATACATTGCATGATAAACTAAAAGTCAGGGAGCTCATTATGCTATGAGTGCAAGGATCTAATGTGTAGAAGCAAAGAATAACTGCAAAGACAGGACGATGCTGCTCAAGTGACTGATTCATCTAAATAAAGTCATAAAGACATGGAAAGCATACTTCATAGTCCATCCACCTTGAGATGCACCAAACACTTTGTTTTGCTTATATGAAAGATGGCACTTGCCAGGCAAAACGTAGATAAAAATGGTTGATATACCAGTATAAAAAACAACAACACCACACACACTGTGTTATGGGAGTGGAGCCACATTTTCTGTAAGACACAGGACTCAGAAATAATCTACAACTAGAAGATGTTTATAAATAATTGATGCCTAAGCAAAGCTGTCATGAACAACCACTAAACAACATTCCTCCAAATCTTTTTATATTCCAAATATTACAAACATTAAGTTAAGTATTAAAAATCCTGAGATCTACACTTAATATTCACGTTCTAAATTTAATGAGCAAACCAGCCCCACGTTGAGTAAGATTACATTATTTAATAATGTCATCAATTTCTGGACTGTAAAATCTGCTGTTAAATAATTTATTTGTTGTGAGAAGCTGCCAAGAGTGGGAAGGATTGATTTTGGTGAATCATAGTCGTTTAACAGGCTAGGTTTTAATAACAGTGCAGAGAAATGCAGATGGGGAAGATGAAAGTCTGTTTGCTCAAACTCTCTAAAGAGAAATGGGGGGAGCTGTTTTCACTGGGATGAGGAAGCAAAGGATGGAAGGAGGCAGAAAGCAGAAACACAGGGGATAATAGGAACTGCTGTCAAAAAGACGCACTGCGGTTGTTTGGTGTTGTTTGTGTGTGTCAGTAAATGACATTCCACCAGGGTTAGATGCTGTGATTCACTATGACCCACAAACCACATGGAGGTCAAAGGTCAGTTAAGTGAAAAGATCTCTCTTTACTGTTTTTGGCTCACTACTTCTTGATTTTCACTTTCCTTGCCTCTATTTTTATCCTGGCTTACTTTTTGTTCTCTTCATCCTTATCTTGCATTCCTCTGTCTTTTAATATTTTGTTCTATCAGCTATGCAGCGCTCAAGTGAACCAGCATTAGTTTTACAAATGGGATCTCATGTTCTGGGTGTATGAGGGATGTAGCCCAAAAATCCTCCTTTGCTTCTGTGCCAATGCACACAACAAACGAGACAAGCAAATGTACAGGAATGTGTGAGTAAACCAAACGCTCCGCTTTAGGCAGCACTCAGGATTTAAGAGTCCTGCTGTGCATGGGGAAAAACACACTCACACACATACCACATTAAATCATGTGACCTACACACATAGAAAGCCCTAATCTTAACTTGGTTCCTCAAATAATTTGGCTTCTGAAACACAAGTAAACTTTCAATTTTCAGGGAAAGCTTGTAAAATGGTTGTGAGAAATCTAGTTGTTGGCCATGTTAACATCTACATCTGTAGTGTACAAGTACATTAAACCATTGTAGCATAATTATTAATTGATTCACGACATGGTGCGGGACTCAAGTCATGTGACTCGCACAAGCGTGACTTACTCCCACCTCTGGATTCAGGTAGCTACTGTCTGCATCCTTTCATACTTACTTACTTATTACCTGGTTCACGAATAACAATCATTTGTGGTCCTCAGAGGATGAACCCCACTGCATTGGTGAACACCTGACTTATTCTCTAGCACCACCATGAGGTTGACACTTGTGACTTTGACAGAAATCTCTCAACAACTACTGAATACTGTCTTCGAAATCTGGTACAGATATCCATATTTTTTCAAGGATGAATTTTAATAACTTAATGATACCTTAATATTTCACCTTTTACCATCATCAGGGGAGGAAAAAATGGGCTGGTCTTATACTTTAGCTAATGATTAGAATATAAAGATATTCCCATAAGCCTCAGCTGTCCTTAGTGATAAATAGTAAAGGGACTTGAAGCAGTGACATGGTCTGATAAATGCACATAATCAGAGTCCATCTGTGCCACATCTTTGTTTCTTTGCAGACGTTCTCCTCCTCCTCATCTGATCATTTGATTTTATTGTCTATCTCACTCCAGTCCTTTTCTTTCTTTCAAACACACCTTTTGGTGTCATTCACAGTACGTATTGGTCCAGAGTGATCAATCAGGCCGCTGCTCCTCTGCATTTTGCACAGAAGGCAGCTGGATGGACAGAGACGAGCAATTAAAGCATAATTAGGGAGTCCTCTGTCCATTTTGAGCCTAAAGCAGTGTGCGTATGTGTATTCAGAGACATAGGCTGTTGGCTGTCCCTGTGTGTGTGTGTGTGTGGGTGTGTGTGTGTGTGTGTGTTGTGGTGTGGGCTGTCTCTGTGTGTGTGTGTGTGTGTGTGTGTGTGTGTGTGTGTGTGTGTGTGTGTGTGTGGAAGAAAAGCAGGAGTAGCGGGGGTTGCTGGAGGAGATGGGGGCAGCTGAGGGGGACTAGCTACATGGAGGTCTCGTTAGCTGAAGCAGACCGGATAATCGGATTTAGACGAAGAGAGGGAAAGCGCGTGTGTGTGAGGTAGTGTGTGATAGGGTGCATGACTGAGTGGAAAGACAGATGGTACGAAATGGTCAAACTGTGACCTGTGCACATACACACCCACAGACACACACATATGCTCTTACAGTATATCTATAATCCATGTAATATTTATGAGCTACTGAACCAGCCCAAAAAGCTACGGCTAAGTACAGAGTGTGTAGAAAAAAAGATCTAAGTCTGCAGTCAAAGCAGCGTGGCAGAGTGGAGGAGAACCAGAGCTGTGCCAGTCCCACAGCTACTGAAAAGTTAATGTGAAACCATCTTTAAAACTCTCCATCTCCTTTTTCTCTGCCTGCATTTCTTTTTTCACACACACATACACATGCAAGCGGGTACCTCTCATTATGAAAAGAACCAGCTGCATCCTTGCTCTCTGGTCCCTTCTTCCTCTCTTGTTCTCCCTCACCTACTGCTGCATCCTGGTCATCAAAATAAGAGCCTCTTTCTCCCCTCTGACTCTCCTCTTTTTATCCCCCATTTTCAAAGAGCATCCTTTAATACCCAGTGCACAAACTCGCCTGTGAATCTGGTCTGTGCATGTGTATGTTTGAAAGGAAGAGAAAAGAATGTAAGATGGCACCAAACATAAAGTAAGAGAAGGAAAGGGGACAAAGACGATGTGTTTGTGCACACCCTTACATACGTGAGTGTCACCCAACTGGAGCTTCTTTATGAAGCCACCATAAACTTTCTTTCACTGTCCCCCTGCTAACCCAAATAGTGCTCGGCAGATGATGGATGAACATTCTGGTCATTTAAGTCGACCATATACCCCTGGATGATGGGAGAAGAAAAGACAGACAGAGCATGAGGATCTGTACTGTGCCATGACATGTACAGATACTTTTTCTCTGAGTGTAAAGCTGCAAAGGACAATAGAAGTGCAATGTGATACCTGATGGATGAGGAATGTCAGTAGGTGTGTGTGTGTGTGTGCACACATGCGTGGTCCAAA